TCTCTGAAGCGCCAACACCCAAAAATTTGACAGAACTATAGTCCTTTCTAGGAATGTGCTCTTACAACCTGCGCTATCTGCCGGATTTTGCGACTGTGGCAGATCCATTACGACAGTTAACAAAGAAAGGATCTTCGTTCGTTTGGGGCAGCAATCATCAAAATGCCTTTGATGAACTGAAAAGGAGAGTTGCGTCTGCTCCCTTAGTTGCTATTTTTGGTGAATCTTGCCGCACCTTTGTGTCCACTGACGCGTCTGATGTCGGTCTCGGAGCTGTCCTCTCACAAATACAAAACGGAGAGGAGAAAGTTATTGCCTACGCATCACGAAAGCTATCAGATTCCGAACGTCATTATTCAGTTGGGGAAAAAGAAGCCATTGCATGTGTGTGGGCCTGTGAAAAGTGGCATTCATTTCTGTTCGGTCGTCGTTTTATTCTGCGTACTGATCATTCAGCCCTAACAGCTCTTCTCAGCAATGGATCTAAAGGATCTCGCCCAATGCGGATCGATCGCTGGTATGCCAGACTCCTTAACTATGATTTTGAAATTGTGTACCGGCCAGGTTTGCAAAATCAGATTGCTGACGGCCTATCTCGCTTACCCGTGGGGTTGGAGGATGAAAAAGAGAGACTCAGCGAGGCGGTACTAGTTTCCAGTCTCGGAGCTAACCTGTCGGCCTTGACGATCGAGGAACTACGAAGGGAAAATTCTAACGATTCTTTACTGCATGAGATTATTGAAAATGTGCAGCAGGGCTGGCCCAAGAATAACAAAATTCCCGGTGAGTTCATTCCGTATTATGCAATTCGACATGAACTATCAGTGGTAGACGGTTGCCTGGAGCAGCACGGATTTCGCCAAGGCAGGTCCTGCACAACTAATTTGCTGATTGCTCGTTCAAACTGGACAGAGTCTGTGGACGCCGAAGTCGGAGTGGATGTAGCCTACTTGGACTTCTCTAAGGCATCCGACCGACTGGACCATCGGATTTTACTGAACAAGCTGCAGCATTGTGGTATCGGCAATCCTATTCTAGGATGGATAGGCGAATTTCTCGTTCAACGTCACCTGAATGTGAGAGTCCGAAGTACCCTGTCGGAACCAATCGAAGTTCAGTGTGGCGTACCTCAGGGCTCGGTACTCGGGCCTCGCTTGTTCATTGTTTTCATAAATGATCTTGCAGCTGCACTATCTTCCAACTTTCTGCTGTTTGCAGATGACCTAAAGATAGGGCGTGCCATAGCTTCAGGAGAGGATCACACAGCCTTGCAGGATGATTTGGACAAAGCATACAAGTGGTCAAACGAGAACATGCTACAGTTCAACACCACAAAGTGCAAAATCTTGAGCATACGCCATCAGAGTGCGTATAACTACCGCTTAGGACCTGACATTCTACAGCGGACCTCTCATGAGTGCGATCTTGGCGTGCTTGTACAAGAAGATCTTGGGTGCTTAATGCAGACCGAAAAGGCCTCCAAGAGAGCAAACCAACACTTTGGCCTTCTGCGTAGAGCGTTTGGGAAGTTTGACGCCTCAATCTTTCCGAAAATGCTTAGCGCTTTTGTTAGACCGCACACAGAATACGCCATTCAAGCGTGGCAACCATGGCAGAAGTGCCACCTCACTGCACTCGATACTGCCCAACGCAGAGCGACAAAATACGTCAAAGGTCTTTCCAGCCTTCCCTACCCACTCAGGCTGAAAACTCTTAACTTATACAGTGGACGTTACCGTCGTTTGAGAGGCGATCTCATATTGGTGTACCGGATACTGAGAACCCCCAACCACACGTGTCATTCCCTTTTGAAACGTAGTCAAAACGCATCCCTAAGAGGTCATCAGTTTAAGTTGATCACACAGTACAGTCGACTGGAATGTCGACTGCAATTTCTTCTCCCTCCGAGTGTCACAACCTTGGAACGCCCTTCCAGAACATGTAATTAACGCCCCCACCCTATCCCTTTTCAAAAAACGCCTTGACGAAACTCTGACACGATTGCACTATGTGATATAACGTGCGACCATCGGATGATGGTATTAGTGAACAACGAACGTGAACGGAATCCACTTAAAATTCCTATTGGATTACTTGTTTATGTGCATCTCCAATCCCTTGGTGAGTCATGCATTTCACACGTACTTTCATCGATACGATTTTTAATTTTACGATGTTAATTCTCATCATCCTACGGGATCTGTCAAGCATTGCTTTTATACCCGTCATAAACCATTGTTCCATTGTTCCATTGATGCGCGGTTCGGTGTTTGTAGCTCCGTCCCAGTTGATAGCCAAGTTAATAGCTTGCGCACATGAGGGACATCCAGGTATAGTTCGGATCAAAAATCGAGTAAGACTCTATTTCTGGTGGCCACGAATGGCATCTAGCATTGAGACATTTGTGGTCAATTGCAATGCTTGCCGATTAGCGGACAAAAGTTCTTTGCCCGTTAAAGCCCCGACACAGCCAATTGCTTACCCGATGAAACCATGGACCAAAATCGCCATTGATATTATGGGCCCTTTCGCTACTGCTCCTACGAATAAGCGAAATCTACTTGTTGCTACATGTTTTTACAGTAGATGGCCTGAAGTACACATGTGCGACCAAGTTACTACTTCGGTTGTGTTACGTTGGCTTAAACACTTGTTCAGCCGTTTCGGTTTACCGCATGAAATAGTAACGGATAACGGGCCACAATTTTGTAGCCGCGAATTCGCAGATTTTCTACATTGCCATAACATTAAGCACTCTAGAACTGCGCCCTACAATCCTGCAGCCAACGGCATGGTCGAACGTTTAAACCGGTCTTTAAAAGAAGCTATACAAGCCATACACATAGGAGGTTCGGACTGGGAGGATGCAGTTTTAACTGCGGTTTTTTCCTACAGAACATGTGACCACAGAGCCACCAGAAGAACGCCAGCGGAGCTGATGCTAGGAAGGCCCTTACGCACAAAGTTAAATGCTGCGCATAACGTTTTGTCAGCGAGAGATGCCGAAGTTTCAAATCGCATAGCATCTTACCAAAATTCCTACGCTAAATTATCAACACCAATGCAGCCCGGGACATACGTTCGCGTCAAAAGCAGAGCAACAAAGAAAGGCACACATTCGCTTTCCGCTCCACTGCGCATCGACCGTACGCTTGGCCCGGGCAACTATCGATTGGAGAACGGCCTAATTGTCAACGCGCGTCGACTCCACACAGCTCGCGGACCAGCTAATCAGCCCGATCGATCCGCGCGCGTAGATCCGGCTGAGTTACCATTACCACGAAGCCAGCTGCGTCGGTCCGCGAGAACGGTGAAACCTATTGATCGCTACGAACCCGGTTGAGGCAGCTTTTCGGAGGAGGAACGATAATGTGGAAACCATGTCAGCAACATCGATTGGCTCGATCTCATTGGTTGGCTTGCTGACTCATTACTACTGGTTGTGTGCGTCTGTCGCTTGACTCTCCGTTTAACAAGGGATTGACTCAGTTGTATTTGGTTAATTTTTCGAGATACATTTTACCTTTCCTACGGCTTTCTTGGTACAACAGTAGTGACCTCAAGATAGGGAAGTGACCAGCCGCAATATCCGATACGTCACAGTGAGGTCCACATTAGACAGACGACGATACGACTGGGTGTACTGTCCTAGTCATTGGCATCGGTCTTCATAAGACATACCTCATAAATTGAAATGAACCTAGTAATCACACGCTGAACACTTTCCAGTTTTGTACCTCACAACGGGTGATCAGGCAATTGGCAGGTGATCCGCACTCGAGCATCAGTCTTATAACGAAAGAGAAGGGGTGCGTGGCAACCTGTTCAGACGAAATTCAGAGGGTACGTCACAGCGCCCAATGCGTGCGCAGTCCGTTTCCATGTAGTTTGTTCTTGTTGTCTACGGAGTTCAAACAGCAGCGTAAGAGTGCGCCGAGATCCTTCACGGAATGTGTGGGATGTAGCGGTTGGCCGACCAGTGTGCACTTACGCCCATCAACACCTTTCCCCAGGCTCATAAATAACGATTTGCCTGGGCTAACAGTAAAATCGATATATGTAGCCCATCTGGACAGGAGGTCAAGGTCATGCTGGAGTACTTCACGGTCGGCTGGAGCATCAGTTATTCTTCAGTCCTTCAGGTCGTCTGCGAACATGACACGAGGCGACCGAAGAAGCTAAGGTACTTCATTTATGTGGATTAGATATACGATGGACCCTAGTGCTGTTCCTTGGAGTACATTACTGGTGGGAGGATGCTTAACCGTCAACCACCTGTATCTGCTATTTCCATCTAACAGGAAAGGCACTGATCCACTTGTGCAGTGACCCACCAAGATCGCGCATCCTCATCTTGTTGAGAAGGTCCTCGTGATTTACGTTGTGGAACGCTTTCCTGAAATCAATGTAGATAACTTTTACCGACCTCCCCCGTTTCAATGATTGCAACCGTTCATACTGCGTCAAATCAGATAACGGGGTCAACTGAAGGTTGTGAGCGGAATATTTTCAAATGTGCCTCAGTCGCCAGACAATTGTCTCTGCAATTCTGGAGGGAGAACTTATGGCCTAATGCTCCTGCCCCATATTGGCATGGTCATGCGAGAAACATGATAAATTACAAACACACTGTTAAAGCTTTACAGGATTATGTCCTTAGCGGTAATTCAAGTCTTGTTGTGCGCTACAAATTCACACATTTTGCTATTGGCCCAAGTCATCAGGATAAGCCAAGTTAAACCACTGGTTGTCAATCTGCGGTTACCGTGGTCCTGTGACAAACACGACCAACCATCATCCTCAACATGATTGGCTTGGTCTTACCCTATGACACAGGTATCGTATTGATACTAACTAGACAATAGGAACCGCTAGTACCTACCAGTTTTCATCTTGCCATCACACCGTTTAAACTACTAAAGGGAAGTAGCTGTTTTGGAAAGGACATTGTTGGTTTCTCTTCCCATTCTCTTAGTTCTCTCCCACACTTTTGAATTCAGAGAATTGCGGCCAAGAGCTGAGTGACGATTCGGGAATCATTTCTTACCACGCCAGCGGAGGATACAATCACTTGTGCATTTGGCGGATTACCGTCGAAGGAAAGAAGAGGATACAGATAAGTTTCGATACGATACAGGTAAGTTGTCTGTCCACCCTACATTTCTTAATGAATGTCTGTTAAGACGGTGCAGCTGCGCACCTGTTTGTGGTTGAAACATTGAATAGCCCAAACATGATGCATAACTATATCAATGAAACAGTTTGGATAAACAGTTGCAAAGCCCAGAAACTCAGCCGCGTAGTTTTGTGAACGTGGGATTTTAATCATTATCTAGTGCCAATGCTTGTGTGAGTTAGAAAAATGCCACTAGAATCTGAAGCAAATTTTCGGGACAGAGGCTATGCCGACCCTTATACTGTTACCGAAACTTTACTATGCTTAGGCGGATGTTGCTTTGACAGCAGCTACTGATAGGTTAATTACTATAGCATTTGTTACCTTGTAAACGCTCAGTCGTGAACTCTAGTTCTATTTCATGCGTTCCTCAAGTGCATGCTCTCAACCTGCATCGGAGGAAATCATGATCCTCACAATATGTACATCTAATCGCACTACAGCGTCAATACTGTCTACGGTAGATAGAATCTTAGCCATCATTAGTTACGTACATATAGCATATTACAGAATCGCCCTATAATTCTTGCAATTAATTGCTTAATATCTGTCTAGATAGCAAGCCTTGGCGATTGGATACGTGTACTGGACGGAAGTGACTGTGGTGCCGATGTCATGTATTACATTGGCGGACAAGAGACGAATTGGCCGCCAACACTTACGTCCACTTCCAATGCCATGATTATCGTGTTCTCCTCTTCAAGTGGTTCACTGACAGATGTTATTGAAGCAACCTACTCCAGCGGTAAGTGAGACAAACCTTTATGCTACACATTCCGGACCAATTTTGTACGATGTGAGAAATATGGGACAGTAGTTTTAAGCTCCATATTTTATACTTGTCGCGGCAAAATTTCGGCAAGAACATCGCGACAGGATTGCGTCTTCTAGCATTGCGTGTGGCCTCTTTTTTCTGGTGAACTGTTCCATAAAGTCCACAGTATACACCCGCTGTGATTCAGAAGAACGCTGAATATTCCATCTATCGGTTTCAAGAGAAACGTCCTCAAAACAGAATTTCATAATCCCACTGACGCAACATTACAATTTTGACTTAACTGGTGTGACGCTATAACAGAGACATATGACACAACGTGAGTTCATGTTAAGGCTACTTGCGACAGCTGGATCAACAAAATATGTGCGCGAGCACAAGGCGAAGGTGTCTCTAGCAACGGGTTTCTTTGTGTCGATTAGAGCACTGAAGCGAAAATAATGTAGTCGAGATAATGTTACTCTTGTCTGAGTGCACACTGAGCTGAATAGTCTGTTACAACCAAATACATGAAACAGGAACCTATTGGTACAAAGTAAGCCGTGACCAACCATAACAACTTGGTACAGTCATCCTATAACTACCTGGAACAGCTTAGCATATTACTTCTTGATTTTCGGAACAGCATTATTGTGATGGTGAGGCAACTTTTCTACAGCTGAGCACTTGTAATTCTATGTCCATAAGAGTTCAATGGCCGTGTCAAATAATGTATCCTCAGTTTTGAGGCATCGCTAAGCAATAATATACATTGATATACCACCTGCATCTGATGAATACCCTGCAGCACTGTCGTTTTTTCTTCGCCGTACCTCCAAAGCTTGACATATTGCTTCACCTCATCATGCTGTAAGAACCAAATGTGCGAACGCAGTCATTTAAATCATATATATCACTTCTGACCACCAAAAGTTCCGTCAGTCCACGGGCTTTCTTGTAGGCTGAGTGCGCATGCTACTACTGTAGCAACTTTCGCTGCACTTATATCTGCGGCTTCCAAACAATTTTCCGGTATACCCTGAGGTTGGCCTGTTAACGTGTGGCTTTCTTGGTACTTGTATACTACTGACACGGAGCAGTAACATCTGCTGTCGACCCAACACAATGCGTAGTGAGTCTGTCGTGCACAGACAGTGTGACTTTGACGCGACTTCCGTATACATTTTGGAGAAAGGAGAATGCTGTAGCATTTTCGCGGTGAATCGCGGTATAAAGTATTTGGTCACTGCTCACTCTTTTTCCGGACGCACACCTACACTGGTATCCTTGAACAAGTCAGGTAGGAAGCCGTATCACTTCCTTTTCAAGTAAGATTATTTTAAGTTGGAGAGTAAAACCTGAGTAAAACAGCACACATCGGTTTAAGATGGTCATGCTCTAGGTTGATATAGTTCAGCAATATCCGATCGAAAGCATTGTTATTCGGTAACTGTGGTGCAAGAAGACCAAGTTTTCCGACTGACATCACCGAGGATTTCAGCAATAAACATAATGGCCAAATTTGAGGAGTGCGCCTGTTGCGCCAATATATTGGGTAAAACAGAAAAATCGCAAAATCGAAAGAAATATGGGGTAGAATCGGGTCATAATACAACGGCTATGAGTTCCCGTGCGCGGCAAGTTCAACTGAGTGAATTGGCGGGATTTTTCGCGGAAAATAGTAAAGCGCAACAGGTAGAACAGTTCCTTGCAAGATGTCGGGCACCGCTACGTGTATGAGAGGCGCTAGCTTTGCCGTGGACTTCGTTTCACAGCACCGACAGGTGCCAGTTATTAAAGCCAATTATTTGGTCCTCGATATGGTTGGCGGCATCCGGTTTCGGATTTGCCTGTCACTGTGGCCAGCCACAGGACGCCTGTGCAAACAGAGGGATCATGGGTGGCTTGCGCTGCACCACCCACAGCTCCAACCACACACCCCATATCCAATGTAAACCCGAAGGCATAAGACCGGGAGGCATGCGGATGGGAGCCAAGTTTCATCAACGGAGCCGGCCCACACTCCTTCACAGGCAAACACAGGCACGCTGTATTTGGGAATCAAGAGCATACAAGGCGGTGGCTGGACCGTAGTCCGCTCCACAGTGAGTGCATGAAACCACACTTTGATCCTAATACGGCCACGAGGACCATGCATCCTGCACCCTCCAGCCACGACCAACTGTCTCCTAGAGCTAGTATGGAGGAGGTAGTGGGTAGTAGACACGTAGGCACCTTGTCAACATGCACATCAAAGGCCGCCATACCGGAGATATTAAGCGACAGCCAATCACTTGAGATGAAGATAACAAATAAAATAAATCGGGTGATGCATAAGTAAACGGTGACCTAACTCTTAAATTAATGAGCATATGAAATAAGTTGATTACAAACGTATCTGAGATAAGTTCACGAGGTCAGAAAGTATGTTTTACGGAAATGCCACAAACACGAAAATAGTATCGCAATTAACTGCAGTTGGCTTAAGCGACGTGTGCAAGTTTATGGAAGAGAGACAGACAGAGTAGACATTTAGATGAGAAAGAAAAGCATTAGGACAATATAGAAAACCCAACACCTGTAATAAAGAGACTTAGCATGCAAGCACGCGGTTAGTACATCGAATGCAGCGTACCTACAAACCCTGCGCCGGTGCTGCCTACGTTCTCTGCAGGACCCGTCGTCGGGTTGTTAGTGGTCCCGAGTGGTCTCGTTCATGGCTCACTAGGCCTGCCTGACTCAGGTACTCGCGATCGCGTGTGCTAGAGCACCATGCGCTCGATATCGATGGAGTACAACCCATCGGTGCTTGCCGCTTCCACACTTGCCGCTTCTTCTCTGCATGTATGAGGTCCTTCTCCTCACTTCGGCAAGTGCCTTCGTGACCAGAGAGATGATAACATTATCTTAAGTGTAAACGGCTGTGGTCAAACAGTCAGTGAACAATAATCAATGATTTATGCCGGGTAAAAAAGTAGTTGGTTGACAAGTCCCGCAGGGGAGAAGACTAATTTGGGGATAGTGTAGCAGAATGGCAAACAATAAACGAAACTGCTTTTCTTTGTTATGGTTGTGTTTGCTTTCCCAGTCTTTCCATCCCACCAGGCTTGTTGGGTGTTGCTTTTGCTCATATTTCACCATTGTTCCACTGCTGCTGCCTTCCAAACGGCTGCATTGCGCTATGCGCTTCAGGGACTAACCTCTTAAGCTGCTATCAATGCATTTTAATCCATGGCAACGTTTGATGAATATTCCCGAGAATTTCGACTACTTTCCGTGTGGGATAATGCGCATTCTAATTGGACACATGGCGATTTAACATCTAATGTGCTCCGGAGCAATGATATCCTGTTTTAACAGTGTCACCTTGCTTAAAATATTAATGCGCCGCAATACTATATTTAAACCTTATGCCCATGGGCGAAAATAAAATCATTCCCAATCGTTTCCAGCTCAATATTCCGACAGTTTGGGGGCTAGTTTTGATTCCATTCTATTTGTGTTGGAATACCCAAGTTGACAGTACAGCAGACTCCTGCTAAACAGAGGGGCTCCGTAGTACAAATTCGCCAAGTCTGTCAGAGTATGTGGTCCGATGCCGTACGCGAATATACATTAACTCACTTGATGCCTCCAGGTGCATGCTATCTAGGTCCGTCTGAAGCAGTTGGATACCAGTATTCATCTTACTCCCTCACTAATTCTTTCAGTTGGCAGAAGGAAGAAAAAACTTGTGGTGATGAATTTCGCCAATATGTTAATGAGCGCCGAAAGAAGTCTTGGCTCGGACCATGAGCCCTACGAGGTAACGCAATCGCATTTTCGGGCCAGACAGAGATCTCTACTATTCAACTACCATTGAACAACGAACCATTCAACAACGAAAACTTCCATCTGCTCAAGAGAGGATGGTCGATGTAGTAACACTTGAGTACCGACCGGAGGATCCGATGAGTCAGACGATCCGTTTTTCGCGAAAAATGCCGATAGCGCACATCAATGCCTTGTACAGCTTTGACTGATTACATACTGGTTCGTGGTATCCGATCGCTTTAGAAGGACATTGTGTTGTTCAGGAGCAACAATGTTGTAACTTTCCAAAGACGCCACCAACTTATCCGTAACGATGGATTTCAAATGCTTTGACCGTATCCGCGGTTGATCAGTGCGTGAATGTCGCATGAATTCGAGCGATTGTTCCAATATTCTATAAGGTATGAACTTGACTTTGATCCAAACACAGCTGAAAGACCTGGGCTAAGACTTCGGTTTATCCTTTCGTTGCCACCCACTCTGGATTTGAACGAATGACATCAAATGCAGCGTGGAAATGTAAGCGCAGGTCCCACACCATTCCATAGACAAACTAAACAATAAGCGTGTATAAAAGTCACAATTCTGGTGAGATGAAGGTATGATCCCCAAACTACAGTACAGGGATTTGAGGGCAGTTTATACCGAAGCATTAGAGTGAATTCGTACATCATACAGAGCCCAGGAACTGCATGTAACGGAGGAACCAACTGCTGCGTTTCTCAAGTGCTGTTGACGCGAATATCGATTTTATAGTGGTGCCATATATCCTTGTCTTTCTCTGCTGCTGCGCCCCACCGGACACACGAGTTGATCCCAGTGCTTCCGTTGGACTAAGCGACTTTCCTAAGTAACACCAACTACGCCAATCTACGAACTGATCACACCTCTTTTCTCACAATGGATTTATTGGACCGACAGCTAGCCGCCGTTTTATGACCTTTTATCAAATTATTTTACCAGCTTAAGAGTTTCATCCAGGGACTATCCAGGGGATCCGCACCACGGAAGGAACAAGCTCCCCTACTGGCATTTTCAGCCTAGTGGTCACACCGCGTATCAGTGCGCACCTCCCTTGGCTTCTCATTAAGAAATGCGTACAACAGAAAGAGCATACATTTTTGGTTTCAAGACCACTGTTGTCCAAAGAACAAGTGTTGCTTCAATGACATGCTCTG